TTTTTAATTTTTTTGGTACCAGGATCAAACTTGGGTCCTTGCGCTTGCAAGGCAGGTGGTGGTACAGCTGAGCTAAATCCCCAGCCCCTTGTTTTTTTTTTTTTTTATTTTGAGATAGAATCTCCACAAGTTGCCCTGGGACTCAAACTTGAGATCCTTCTGCCTCAGCCTCCTGAAGTCCCGGTACTACAGGCATGTCTGGAATTTCCTGCAGCTCTCAGTGCCATCGAATTCTGGGGAAGCCAGTGGGTATGTTGCAGAGTCCAAGAGCTGGGAGAGACCAATGGGAAACAGGAGGATTCATTTAGGTTTTAGGCAAACACTGGCTAAGCAGACTAATATCCAAAGGGAGAGCAAAGAACCAAGGAGAAGCTCCAGTTTTTTATACATTTAGTCGAAGCGGCTGGTCTTTCTAGTGACACAGCAAGTTTACACAAACAGGGCAAGCAAGGGCAGATAGTTTTATAATTCAGCCTTGAAAGAAAACAGAGCCTTGTGAATCTTGTGATAACAAGATGATGTAAACTTTGTTCAGGGGACATATTTGGCAATTTTATCTGCACCAGGACAAGGAGTTACAGCTACAGGGGAAGGAAGGGGGTCGTGACCTGGGTATGGAAGGGAAACTGCCCGAGGCTGTAAAAACTTGTTTTCCTTTAAGTCCTGCTTCAGGTAAATTGCAGCTGTGCGCATGGCCCGGGATCACAAGTTGAGAATATTTTGGGGGTTTTTCCCTTGGTTTTTTTTTTTTTTTTTTTTTTTTTTTTTTTTTTGCGATAGGGTCTCACTATGTAGTTCAGGCTGGCCTCGAACTTGCAGCGCTCCTCCTGCCTCAGCCTCCCAAGGGCTGGGATTACAGGTGTGCACCACCACGCTTGCCTTCCATTTTTAAATAGCTCAAAAGAAATAAAAAAGAAGATTATGTCGTAACATTGAAAATTATATGGAATGCAAATGTTTGTATCCATAAAGTTTTATTAGAACACGACAACGCGCCTTCAGGGGTGCGTCATCTAGTGGCGACGTGCGCGCCTTCTTAGGCCTTGCGACAGTGGCGGGGTCGCCCACTCAGCCGGCACACAGGAGGCTGCACCCTGCACAGGGGCGCAGGAGGCGGCGCGGGGCGGGGCCCAAGGCAGGAGCTACGGGGTCTCCCGGGGCCAGTTTGAAAAGGACAGCGCCGCTTCCGCCATATTCCCCGGTCGTAGGTACAGCTTGTACCTCCGGAAGGGAGGGAAGGAAGTTGAGGTGAGAGGTCACCTTGGGGGTAAGTACCGTTATCTTTTTCTTTTCTTTCCTCTTTATCTTTTCTTTTCCTTTCTTTTCTCTTTTCTTTCCTCCCTCCGCCTGCCCGTCGCTCCTCTTTCTTTTTTGTATTCTGGGGATGGAACCCAAGGCCTTGTGCCCGCTTCTCTAAGCATGTGCTCTATCAGTCAGCTCTGCTCCCAGCCTGAAATTCTCACTTTTTTTTTTTTGCTGTACTAGGGATTGAACCTAGGCCCTTCACACTTAGCCCAGGCTGGTGATCTCCTGCCTCAGCCTCCCAGAGTGCTGGGATTACAAAAGCCATGCAATTTGTGGGTTGTTTTGCCTTGTTAATTGCATACCAGATTCCTCAGCAGGCTGGGGGTTAGCTCAATGGTAGTGTGTGGACAATGCTTCAGATTTGATCCCAAACACCAGGAAAAAAAAAATCTCCAATGTGATTAGGTGCATTTCTAGATTTCTGTTTGTCTGCCATTGGTCTACTTTTGTGTTACTTTAACATCGTTGGTCTTAAAAATACACTGATACCTTGTGTGGTATTTTCCTTCTTAAATTTTTCTTCAGAGAAACTTCAGTTTTCCTTGTAGGTTTTTCACTAAGAGCTCCATTGAAGAATAATTCACATCCAAGTTACCCATTAGCCAGGCGTGGTGGTGCACACCTGTAATGTCAGCACTCGGGAGGCAGAGACAGGAGGATCTCAGGGAGTTCAAGGCCAGCCTGGACTACACAGTGAGCTCAAGGCCAGGCTGAACTGCAGTGAGAGCCTGTCTCAGAAAAAAAAAAAAAAGAAAAGATAACACCATGGTACCCATTTGAAGAGTGCAGTTCAATGGTTCATTGCTTTTGTATGTTCATAGGATCCTGGTGTCCACACTGCAACCTGATTTTAGCACATTTTTTTGTTCTTTTGTTTCGTTGTGTTTTTTTTTTTTTTTTTGTACCGGGGATCGAACTCAGGGCCTTGTACTTTTGAGGCAGGCACGCTGCCACTGAGCTAAATCCCTGGTCCATTTTAGCACATTTTTATCACCTTAACAACCCCTGTACCCATCGGTAATCACCCCTCCATTTCCCATCTCAGACCCCCAGTTCAAAGCAATCTACTTTCTGTCTGATTTGCTGTTCTGTAGCAGCACCTCATGTGCACAGAACAATGCGGCATGTGGCCCATTGTTTTGGCTTCTGTCACTTAGCATAACATTGACATCACAGGGGCTCATGTATTCCTGTAATCCCATAGGCTGAGGCAGGAGGATCACAAGCTCAAGGATGTCCTGGGGAACTTAGCAAGATCCCGTCTCAAACAAAAACAGAAACACCGTAACATTTTCAGGGTTTGTCCCTAATGTCTGCATGTAGCATGTACGCATCTGCATGTAGCTTCTTCATTTTAAAATTTCAATGTAATTTAATTTTTAATTTAATTTACTTTATTGCAGTCCAGGGCCTTGACACTGAGCTACATCCTCTGACTTTTTAGTTTTTTAAAAATATGAGAGAGAGCGGAGTTCCCTGAGTTCCCAGGCAGGACTCTGGCTTGCAGTTCTCCTACTGCAGACTCCTAGAGCGCTGGGGTCCCAGCGAGGGCCTCGCACCGCTACCTCTTCCTTTCTGCAGCTGAGCAGCGATTCTCTGCCGTGCGTTCATCGGCCAGCATCCCCGCTTGTGCCCACGTTTTGCCTATCATGAGGACTGCCACTGTAAGCCTTATGAAAAGCTATTGTGAGATTGTGGGGCCTGCTTTCCTCCCCTTTGAAGGGTTACCTGATCACAGGCCCACCCAAAGTTTGCCATTTCTAGGGCCTGCCTGGCGTTTCCCCAGAGCAGCTGCACCGTTTTCAAATCCCACTAGCAGCACTTGTGTCTCAATTTCACCATATTTTTGCCCGCACTTGTCATTGTCTTCTGCCTTACCGCCGCTGTAGAATGTGGAGTGGGGTCTTGTGGCTTTGATTAGCATTTTCCTAGCGACTAATGGTACAGAGTGTCTCTTCATGCACTCTTTGGTCACGTGTATAGCTTCTTTCAAGACATTTCTATTCAAGTTCTCTGTTGAAGCCTGGGGATGTACCTCAGTGGTACAGCGCTTGCCTAGCGTGGACAAGGGCCTGGATTTAATGCCCAGCATCAGGCTGACCTGGAACTCACTGTGATCCTCCTGCATCAGCCTCCTGGGCACTGGTATTACAGACACATGCCATCTCATATATACACGGAGAGATTTCAAGGAATTGGCTCACGCAGTTATGGGCCTGGCAAACGCAAAACCTGCAGGGTGAGATCCAGGGAAGAGCTGACGTTGCAGTCCCACTCTGAGGGCAGGCTGGCTGCTAAAGAATTTCCTTTTCTAGGAGGGAGCTCAGCCTTTTTCTTCAAGCCTTCTATGAATTGGATTCCACACACATCATTGATGGTGATCCTCTTCAGTCAGAGTCTATTGATAAAAGGTTTATTTCATATTTGCAATGTCAAGATCATGAGTTTGAGGCCAGCCTGGACTATACAGTAAGACTCGGAAAAATAAGCCTTCACAGTTGGGGTGTGCACATTCAGGAGGCTGAAGCAGGAGAATCGAGCTCACAACCAACCTGGGCTAAGTAGCAAAACTGTGTTTCAAAAAAAAAAAAGAAGAAAAATGCTTCAAATGTGTTTGAATAACTATCTGGGCTCTGTGGCCTGGCCAGTTGACATATAAAATTGACTATCACACAGTCCCTTGTCAGATATATGATTATGAAGTATGTTCTCTATTCTTGTGATCTAGGAGTTGTCTTTCACTGTCTTTATGATATCAGTTGCACTATAAAAAATTTTAATATGTAGGCATATCTATCTTTTTGTTTGTTTTATGTTTTTAGAAAAAGAGTCTCGCTATGTAGTTCAGGCTGGCCTTGAATTCACTCCGTAGACCAGGCTAACCTCAAACTCATGGCAATCCTCCTGCCTCAGCCTCCTGAGTGCTGGGATTACAGCACTTTTTCTTTTATCTTATAGTTTGGGTTTTATATATAAGAAACTATTACCTAAACCAAGGTTTACAATTTTCTCTTATCTTTCCTTCTAAATTGATCACTCTTCTGTTTAGGTCTTTGGTCCATTTTGAGTTAATTTTTGTGTATTTTGTGAGATACGGGTTAAACTTTTTTTTTTTAACATGTGGACTCCCAGTTATACTAGCATTTGTTGAAAAAAAACTTTCCCCATTGAATTGTGCTGGCTCCCTTATCAAAATTTAGTTGATCAAGGGCTGGGGATTTAGCTCAGTAGTGTCGCCTGCCTGCCTCACCAAGCACAAGGCCCCGAGTTCAATCTCTGGTACAAAAAAAAGACCACAGTTGTGTATGTGTTTATTTCTGAACCCTCAATTCTATTCCATTGATCTATATGTCTATATCCTTATTCCAGTACCCGATTGTCTTTCCCCCCAGTACTCAGGATTACACACACAGTCTGCATTGAGTTACATCATTGGTCCATTTTTTATTTTTAATTTATTTGAAAATTTTGAGACAGGGTCTCTCTAAGTCACTAATTTACCCAGGCTGGGGTCCAACTTGCGATCTTCCTGCCTCAGGCTCTCAGAATGCTGGGATTTTAGGTGGGTACCACCAAGCCCTGCTACTAAAATATTTTAGGTGTTTGCTACTGATATAAGAGAAAAAATATGAAAATATTATATCTCCTAACCTGTTAGATGTCTGATACACCAAGTTCGTGTCTCTAAAATTGAAAAATGAATTCTAGGAACAACAGAGGTTAAGAGTAGGAAAATAGTTTTTGAGAGGACAGGAGGGAACCCAAGTGGGGTAGCCCCCACTTTACAGGGAAGTTTTATAGAGCAGAACCCATGTGGGGTACAGCTATGACTGATCGATGAGATTCTAGGTACAATCACTTAGGTAATAGTGATCTGATGGGGAAACAAGTCAATAACAGGGTGTATGGAAAGAACACGAACTTCTTTGGGAAATGATGGGCCCTGGCGTCTTGGTCACCCACGAGGTGGCTGATGTCTATGCAGCCTTCAGTAAGCCTGGTGTTTAGCTTTGAGGAAATACTCAGGCCTGGTCATCTTGTCTTTATCTTGAGGACTGATCTCTAACAGATGTGTCTCTGGCCATCGTTGTGATGTTTTGGTCTCTTGAGGGCTTCACCTGTCTGACTGCCTAGAATATTTCTGCTTAACTTAGCTATCTGTGGAAAACCCTTCCTCGAGCAGAGCACAAGAAGCCAGTAAATCATGTAGTCCAGGCCAACCTTGAACTCATGGTGATCCTCCTGCCTCAGCCTCCTACACCCAGCCAGTTCCCACTTTCGCACTCCCCAGTTGCATAGTGAATGTGGGTACCGAGCACCTCCTTCAGACATTACAAATGCAGGCCACTAAACAGCACATGCCTCCTGCTGATTGACACGCCAAGCTTCTTCCGGGATCATCTCGCCAGGAAACTGCATCTGCTGGGCATTGAGATCTGACGCCAGTCTCCAGGGCATTGGCTTGCTTGCCGTCTGGGATGAACAACCAGGGGCATTAGCTGAAGACCTCTGAAGGCGAAGAAAGATGACCGAAGGGACCTGAGGGCTGGGGTGTATCTCAGCGGTAGGATGCTGGCCTAGTAGGGGCAGGGGCCTGGGCTCAAGCCCCAGCATTGCTAGAAACGAACAGAACATGTCAATCCACATGGAATGAGTCCACTTTATTTGGATTCTGAATCAAATGAATCACTAATACCTTTTTTTGTATGGGATCAAACTCAGGACTTTGTGTTTGCAAGGCAGGGGGCACAGCCCTGAGCTAAATCCCCAGCCTGAAGCCTGATCACTAATAATTTTTTTTTTTTTTGGTACCAGGGATTGAACTCAGGCTCTTGCACTTGCAAGGCAGGCAGCAATCACTAATAATTTTTTAGATAAATTTTGTTTTATTTTCTCCCATTACCCCCCTCCAGCCCACTCCCCTTTCACTTTTTTCTTGTCTCCTCCTTCCTCTCTCCCTCCCTCTCCTTTGTCCCCCTTCCCATTTGAACATTTTCTTCCCACTTGCCAACATCCATTATATAATCACTGATAATTTTAACACATTAGTGAGACAATTGGAAATATGGAGACTGAACATTTGATGATGTTATAGAGCTACTGTTCACTTTTTAGGCATGACAGTAACATTCAGATATTAGTGTGCCGTAAGACTTTTTCACCTTTTTTTTTTTTCAGCCGGGCATGGTGCCACTTATTTGTAATCCCAACACTTGGGAGGCTGAGGCAGGAGGATCACCATGAGTTTGTGGCCAGCCTGGGCCACATAGTGAGTTCAAGCCCAGCCTGACCTACATAGCAAGACCTTGTCTCAGAAAACAAGGCAGAAAAGGAGTGTGTGTGTGTGTGTGTGTGTGTGTGTGTGTGTGTGGTGGTGGTGATTCCAGGAGTTCAATATCTGTAGATGCTAAAATTCCTTGTATAAAGCAGCACAGTGGTCTGGAGATTTAGCTCAGTGGCACCATGCCTGCCTCACAAGCACAAGGTCCTGAGTTCCATCCCTGGCACCAAAAACAAAAACAGAAACAAAAGCCTAACAGACAGCAATTTCATATGAACCGTGCACAGCTATCCCCCTTTTTTTGTACCGGAAATTGAATTTGGGACCTTGTGCTTGCAATGCAGGCAGCGGCAGCACTGAACTAAATCCCCATCCCCTATAACAAGTTTTAATAGATAACATCTTTATTATCATCATCATCATCATCATCATCATCATCATCATCATCATCATCATCATCATCATCATCATCATCATCAATTTTTGTCACAAGGGGGTGCTCAGTACGACGTACCGAGCAGAGGTTGGTACGTGGTTAAGGCCATCAGTTGAGTGGTGGTGTGTCTATCAGTCTCTATGGACAATTGAATGTTTTGACAAGTAGGTGTAAGAGGCAAGGGAGAATTATAACAAAGAGGATAAGAACTTATGCTGTCATTGTGACTCTGTGTTAATCCTTGACCCTTGGTCATGCATAGTCTAGTCAGCTTCTGGGGTGACTAGAACAGGGCTGCCATTTTTGGTGGCAGACTGATCTTGTCACAGAGTCAGCTGGTTTGAGTGGTCTGGATCCACTGCTGGCTGGTCCATTTGTCTTGGGCTATTGGCTTTAGCTGACTGTAGTAGATCTAGGACATAGTTCCTCTAATTTCAAAAACAGTAGGGGTGGACAGGATTGCAGTATGAGACCCATCTCATATGGGCCCCCAAGTTGTTGGATTTTTAAAAATTTTTTAAAAAGTATTAATTAATTAATTAATTTGGTACCAGGGATCAAACTCTAGACCTCATGCTTGCAAGGCAGGCGGTGGCACCACTGAGCTAAATCCTGACCCTGGATTTTATTTCTTGACCCAAACAAATCTCCAAGCTTAAAGAGTTGCATTGGGTCTGTTACGCGTATGGGCATTCTCTCTTGTAACCAGCTATAGATATCTTGTAGGGCTACTCTCAAAGCTTATATCTGTTTTTTTTGTATTGTTTAGTTTTTGTGGGTTTTTTTGGGGGGGTCAGTTTTTTTTCTAGTTTACAAAGATCACCCTTAATTTGATTTATGACTGGAAATGGCTGGCCAGACAAAATCACATAAGAGGAATATCCAGTTTGTTTGGTAAGGGTGTACTGGACTCAGAGGAGGACCATGGGCAGGACTTGATTCTATCTCAGATGGGTTTCTTGACAGTATTTTTCAGCATTTGTTTAATTGTCCAGTTCATGTGTTCCATCTTTTTCAAGCTCTGTGACTGGTAAGCTGTGTGAAGCTTTTGTTTTATCTTTAACATCTGTGTGAGCTCTGGGACTATGTTGGCTATGAATGCTGGTTCATTGTGTGACCCAAGGTCAAAGACCATCCAAATCTTGAGATGGTATCTCTCAAAAGTACCTTGGTTACCTTCTGTGTCTTTTTTGTTTGGACAGGGACCGTTTTAGTCCATCCTGAGAAGGTACAGACAAGCACTAATATATATTGAAAGCCACTGGCTCAAGGCAATTCAGTAAAATCCATAAGCAAGTTTTTTTTTTTCTGGTACTGGGAACCAAACTAGGACTTTACCCTTGAGAGGCAGGTGCAGCACCACTGAGCTACATCCCGACCCCCTATAGGCAAGTTTTTACATGGGGAAGCTGCTTCCTGGTTGCCTGGGTCCTGGGGGCCTTTGCCTTGGGTTGTTTTGGGCACAGGTTAAGATTGTTCATAAATAGCCCAAGTGATGGCAGTGAGCTGCAGCACATAAAATGACAGCCTAATAATATTTTTAAAGCTGTCTTTCTCATGTGAGGCACCTGATGGAATTGTTTTATGAACCTGGGGCCCAGCACTTCAGGATAGCTAGATTTTATCAGAAAACTTTTATTATCCCCCCTTTATATAATCTTTAGCTTCTTGGTTAAACCAGGCTTTTTTTTAAATCTGAGAAATAACTCAGGGTCTCTGGGAGAGGAGGCTCTGGAGGGGCATGGTTGGGACCCCTCTTTTGGGTTGGGGCCCAAAAGTAGCTCA